TTCTCCGCGATGGCAACGAGGAAGGGGACGCTCCTGCGCTCCGAATACGGAGGCAAGCAGTCGCGCATCTCGTCCGGCGACGCCATCTGCTCGCGTACAGCCCCGCCCGCGCGCGGAGTCAGGCTTGAAGCGCCTCGCGTTGCGCAGAAGCCTTACCCGCAGCCGTACCCTCGGGGATCAGTCGCAGCCCCAGTGGCGAGCGCATCGTTTCGGTTTGTGCGCTCCCGCTCCTTGCGTCGCAGATATACGCGGCTGTCGGGGAGCAACGAGGCGGGGAGGCGGGGAGGCGGATCGTGGGGATGAGAGAGTACTGTACTATTTCGACCAAGTGTTCATTAGTTTCGGAATTTTCACTCACCGAGATGGCCGATAAATTTTCTTTTGAATTGTCGCGATTTTTAACGGCCTCAGAAAAATCGGCCGTCACGCGTCACCTGAACACTCGGTCGAAATAGTACAGTACGACGGCGCAGAGCTGAGGACGGGCGAGTGGGCAGTGGCGAAGATGATGCAGGACGGGGCACGCAGGGACGGGTGGCAGAGATCGGTAGTCCGGTGACCGTTCTGTCTACTAGAAAACAAGTTTGTCGGTAGACAGACCGGTCGAACTGAGTTTGAATTTGCATTAGGCGCGATCAGTCCTCGATCAGTCACGTTTCTGTCCCGTGATTTGCATCCTCTTCCTTCGCGCGCGTCGCGATCTCTTTCTACGCTCTTTCTCCCCGTATGCTATACTCGCTGCGATGAACTCACACTCTCTATCTCCGCATCCCGCTGTCTATCCCGCATTTCCCCCGTTTCAGCTCGGGCCCTCCTTGCATTACGCCAAAAAACTGCACGCTCTACATCCCTACTTTTTGGCCGTTCTTTTGTCTGTTATCCGACAACTCGAGGACGACGATGCTATCAGATACGCCTTCATCCTCACTGTGCCCTCAAAACTCCCCTCCAGAAATTTCTTGCTATCTTTATCCCCAGCAGAATGCGCGAAAGCCCTCCGGGCATGTTTACTTGTCTATTCCTTGACCCGCGGAAAGATCGTCCCACATCAAGGACAATTGGAGGCTTCCTTGGCGTCGATGTCCGGCCGCCATAGCTCTGTCATAGCACGTACTGGATACGGGAAGACACTCTGCATCGCCATCCCGCTCCTTCTACAGCCGAACACCATCACACTTACAATATCACCACTCAAGCGACTGCAACGGATGCAGGTCTGTATTCAGCTGCTGTTTGAGTTGATCTAAGATGAACAATGCCTTTAGGTCAACGACTTTATGAGCAAGTACGGCATTCCCACCCTTGCTATTAACGAAGACACACCAAAGATACCGGAAGGTCAGTTTCCAGTGAATGCCGAAATGTCTCTTACTAATTATTCCCAGAGCATCGAGAACGGAGAAATCCCGCACCTCATAGTCCAACCAGAACAGTTTCGCCTTAACCACGGACATTTGCCTCGCATGGCTAATCTGCTGAATAACCGAGCCTTTGTCGCGAAGATCGCAAGAGTCTCGGTCGACGAAGCCCATAATATCTACACAGCTGGGACTGTTATCAACGGCCGTGCCCCCTTCCGTCCAGCATGGGGAGGCTTAGGCGAAGTTCGAGCTCGACTCTCAAAAAATACAAGCTGGCAGGCGCTCTCCGCAACCATGCCAAGTTACATCCACAAAACCATTCATCAATCTCTTGGGTTGCCACCTGACACCCTCACTATCCGTGTCTCCATCAACCGCCCAAATATAATATATGCTACACACAAACTCGTCGACGGCCGCAATAACCCACACAACCTTGATCGCATTATTCCCCGACCGTTTCATCCACCTATGCGTCTTCCCAAGCTTGTCATATTCCATGGAGAGAAGGTGGAAACGAGCAATCTGGCTCAATATCTGAATTCGCGGTTACCGCCAGCATTTCAGAAGCTTGGACTTTGTCGCCATTATCATAGCGACATGTCTCCTGAATATCTGGAACAAACCTACAGCAGTTTTGCGAATCCTGATGGCGTGGTCTTGATTCTGCACGCGACATCTGGGGCGGGAGAGGTAGGTGATAATAATATTCTTTTTTTTTGGACTCAAATGCGAACAATTTAGGGCTTGGACGTACCCGAGATCAACGGTGTCATAAATTATGGGCTGCCCGAGAAAGTCCCCAAGCGGTTCCAATGGGAAGGACGCGCCGGTCGCAGCTCGACCCGCGACGCTTTTGCGCTCACCATGATCGAGCCCTGGGTATTCGACATGGACCTCAGCACAGCAATTGACGACCCGGACGACCCTGACCGACCCTTACTCCCGGACGGACTCAAGAAGAAAAACCCCAGGAAGCAAGAGCGCGTTGGCACTGCCTCTGTTCGGCTTGCCAGATGTTCCGGTTGCAAACGATCTGGCTACGCCAAGTTCTTTGAAGACAGTAACGACGACGGCGAGTTGGGGGCAATATCGTCGCATTTGATTTGACTAACCTTCACCCAGCTTTGGACTTTACTTGTCTTTGGTGTTGCGACGGACACCCGGACAACGGATTTTCCTTGGATAAGCTATTTTTGGGACCGATTTACGCCGGCGAAGGCGCTCGTACAGCTGCGAAACGCAAGCGTACCAAGTATCGGCCCGTAAAACAACGGCCCGTGTTAGTCGAGTTGCTCACAACTTGGGTCACAGCAACTTATCAAGCACACGAGCTTCGGTTCGTCCGCCCCCCATCTTTCATTCTGGACGCTCCTTCTCTCAAGCGACTTTCTATGGCCCATCCTTCCTCGATTCCTTCGGTGGGCAGCATTGTCTGGCTCCTTCAGCAGTCCGAAGAGTGGGAAAAAACTTGGGCCGGTCCCATTTTCGATATTATCCGAAGTTATGACCGGAAATTGGCGGGAAAAAGAAAACAGGAGGAGGACAGCGATGAGGAGGAGGAAGATGAGGGGGAGGATGACTTAGAGCCGCCGTCCAAACGTCGAGCATAATCACATTGTAATTGTAATGCAGTCTAATTACTCTCATCATCCTCGGGGCGCACAAGCGATAACGCCATCGGCGGAAGGTCGTCTGCCTCCTCGTCGACCTGAATACCTTTCAGAAGATCCTTCCGATTTTTGTTAAAGGTTGCAAGACTGGAAGACTTGAGAACAGCTTCTCCAGTGGATAGGATGTCCACCGAAGGCTTGACAAGAGAAGTAGTGTTCCGAGTTGGATCGTGGCCATTGAGGTTTAGCTCTTTGGCCTTGTGCGCGATACGCCACACAAGATTCGAGGTATCGGGTGTCTTGTGTGAGCTCCCATTGTAGGAGGCATCGAGGGACATTGTATGAACGATTGTCTTCATACGAGAGATCGGTTACCGGTCTAAGAGATCGGTGCACCATGCGGGATACGAGCGGCGGAGAAGGCTCCGCGGCCGCCCCCGCCTGTACCCCGCGCCCGCTGAGAGGCGGGTCCGCCGCGCGTGCCAGCGGAAGGCTGAGTGAGACTCGGACTACGCCCGCGACGCTCTCGCGCATCGCAGGAGACGTGCCCTTTCGTACGAGACGTGCGGATGCAGCGCGCTCCTCCTGCGTGGCAGACGTAGCGGGCGCCTCCCAACGCACGCATCGCGGCCTACACATCGCCATCGATCAGCGAAAGCGCCGCCGCGCGGAGCGGAGCAGAGGGGAGGGGGATACGCACCGTCCCCGGCCCTGAGAGTACTAGTACAGGCCCCAGCCCGTCCCGCGTGAATGCACCCAGTACTAGTCCGTCCTGAGCATGCGCGGCTGCGCGCCTCGGTGTGCGATGTGATGCGATACACGAGGATGGCGGGCGAGCTATGCAGGAGATCGATAGTATGGTACCACAATGAGCGTAAGCGCGGACTCGGAGGAGGGCGCGGGAGAGCGCCGCCCGGCATGTCACTGCCACGGACGACACAATCGGCACCCCGGGGACGCCCCGTCACTTCGTCTCATCAAGCTCGTGGTCGCACATGTCGGCGGCAGTGCGGACACGGACGCGGGCGGGGGACGTCTCGTGCGCTGGCCGGCGAGGCAGAGCGCGCGTCCCGCCGCAGCGCAGCAGGTATTAGGCGGCAGAACAGGGAGGACGGTCGCGGTCTCGTCCCCGGGATGTGTATCTGGCGCGCTCTTCTTCAAGTTGTCCATGCGGACGTCCACTTGAGAAATCCGCAGGCTAGACACTAGAGATCTTGCTCCTAGAAGAGACGGTTTATCACAAAGCTTCGCCGTTCAAGAGGAGGACGAGGTCGCAGACAAGCATACCACAACACCGCACAGCCTTCGGTCTTCGGGCCGACGGGGTTTTTGCCTCAGTACAGGTACAGGAAAAATAATCGGATGGAGTGTAGGACGTCGCCTCCTCTCTTATTTTTAAGATCCAGAAGTTGTGCGAGGCAGCCCTGGGTTGGACTCCCCGTGTCCGAATATTTTAAATTAATTCTTCAAGTTCTAGATCTCTGCTTTTTATTCACCGCTGGGAATGTCGCTCACCTATTCAAGTTACCAGGTGTAGAAATCATCGGACATGGTGTACGGTACACCGCTTCCTCTCTTGGTGTTCAGTGAAAAGAGTTGCGCGAGGCAGATCGGGGTTCAACTCCCCGTGTCCGAATAGCCTGTAGTCCAATCACTTCTTTTGCAACGCGCTGCGAAATATCGCTCACCTATCCACCTTTGTAGGTATAGAAGCCATCGGATATGGTGTACGGTACACCGCTCCTCTCTTAGCGTTCAGATTTGACGGTTGCACGAGGCAGTCCGGGGTTCGACTCCCCGTGTCCGAAATTAATTATGATAAGTTAGTCTAACTTTTTGAACTCCCTCCCAAGGATCACTCACCTATCTACCTCCATAAGTGCAGAAAACATCGGGTGGTGTACAGTACACGGCCTCTTCTCTTCGCGTTTAGTTCTAACATCCGAATAGTTGTGTCTTACCCTCTTTTTATTTATTCACCGCTGGGAAATAACTCACCTATCCAATTTAGCAGGCAGTGAAGGCATCGGACATGGTGTACGGTACACGGCCTCTCGTTATATCCACGCTTCGATTTCCAGAGGTAGATCGGGGTTCGACTCCCCGTGTCCGAATGTTCCGGCACTGTCTTGCCCCCTTTTTTTTGACTGCGCACTACGGAATATTGCTCACCTATCCACCTTTATAGGTATAGAAACCATCGGGCATGGTGTACGGTACACCGCCTCCTCCTTTGATATTGAATCGTGGGAGTTGTCCGGGGATCGACTCCCCGTGTCCGAATAAGTGCGGTGCGGAGTTTTTTTGAACCCACCCCCACACCTATCCGAGCTCGCAGGTAAAGGAATAATCGGACATGGTGTACGGTACATGGCCTCTCTCCTTTGACTGGCTCCGACTCATCAGATGGTCACCTGAGGCAGATCGGGGTTCGACTCCCCGTGTCCAAAATTGATCAGTTTGTCTGGTTTTTGAATCCACTGTGAAATAGGGCTCACCTATCCGCCCTCACAGAGACTGAAATCATCGGACATGGTGTACCCGGCACACCGCTTCTCTCATGAGTTTCAGATCAGGGTTCGACTCCCCGTGTCCGCATAGTCGGGCAAGGACCATTTTTTGAACTGACAACGAAATATTGTGCGGTACACGTCCTCCTCCCTTGATATTGAATCTTGGGAGTTGTCCGGGGTTCGACTCCCTGTGTCTGAATAATAAGGTGGGTTGTAGTTTTGGAACCTGTGCCGGAATATTGTCACCTACTTAAGTTAGCAGGTACAGAGAAAATCGGACGTGGTGTACGGCGCCGCCTCCTCTCTTACCATTGAGAGTCAACAGTTGCGCGAGGCAGTCCGGGGTTCGACTCCCCGTGTCCGAATAGGTAGTCTAGCCATTCTTTTCCAACGCGCTGCGAAACATCCCTCACCTATCCACCTTCGCAGGTATAGAAATCATCGGGCATGGTGTACGGTACACCGCCTCCTCTCTTGATGCTGAGCCCAAACAGTTGCGCGAGGCAGCCCGGGGCTCGACTCCCCGTGGCCGAATAGCCCATTGTCTTGCCTTCTTTTTATTCACTCGCTGTGGGAGATATCGCACACCTTATACAATTCAGCAGGGCCGGAAATAATGTACAGTCCACGGCCTCCTCTCTTGATGTTAATTTTTGAGAGTTGCGCAAGGCAGATCGGGGTTCCGTGTCCGAAATTGATTCGTCGCTGCAAAATATGGCTCACCTATCCAAGTTCGCGGGTACAGGAATAATAGGACACGCTGTGGACCACGCGAGTATAATATAACCCCCCCCCGGTGTGCGGTACATCGCCTCTCTCGCTGAGTGGATTTTCGAGCAAGGTGACTTAAGGCAGCACGACGGGGTTCGACTCCCCGTGTCCGAATGCAAGTACAGCATCTACTTTTTGAACGCGCTGCGAAATATTGCTCGCCTATCCGCCTTCGCAGGTATCTAAATCATTAGATATGGTGTACGGTATACGGCCTCCTCTCCTTTGTGTTCATTTCTTGAAGTTGTGCGAGGCAGTCCGAGACTTCCCGTGGCCGAATGCAACCTCTCAGGCTTCTCGTTTAACGTGCTGCGAAATTTCACCCACCTAACCAACTTCGCAGGTACAGAAATCATCAGATATGGTGTACGGTACACCGCTTCCTCTCTTGGTGTTGAGAGTCAACAGTTGCGCGAGGCAGATCGTGGTTCGACTCCCCGTGTCCGAATAGGTAGTCTAGCTGTTTTTTTCCAATGCGTTGCTCCAGAAGGTTGCTAGCCCACCTAACCAACTTCACAGATACACGGATGTCTCAGACGTGGTGTACGGGACACGGCGTCCTCTGTTGATTTTGAGTTCAATCCGCGAAGAGAAGATTATGAGGTAGCCGGGGGTTCGACTATATACCCGTGTCCGAATAGTGGGGCACGCCAGATTTTTCGACTCATGGTAAAGGCCTGTTCACCTATCCTCGGAATCATCGGACGTGGTGTGGGGTACACCGCTTCTCTCCTTATAAGCTCTGGATGTTCCATGAAGCAGATCGGGGTTCGACTCCCCGTGTCCGAATAGTTGGGCAAGGACCATTTTTTATTATGCTGCGAAACATCGCTCACCTAACCAAGTTTGCATGGAGAGATAGTTGGACGTAGTGTACCGCCTCCTCTCCTGCTCCTCTAGTCTTCTTCTTTATACTCGCGTCTAGAAGTTGCGCGAGGCGGATCGGGGTCGGACTCCCAGTGTTCGAATAGTTGGGCGACAATGACTTTTTGAACTCACAGTGAAAGAAGCTCCAGGTAACTCTTTAGTCAATACCGCGCCTTGTATCCGTCCTCAGATTTTCCCAGGGAAATCCCAGTCAAGCAATGACCTGTAAGCCAAGAAGACATCACTCAAGTCGTAGTTTAAATTGCGGATTTCCTTGATTTTCGTGGCCAAAAACAGATTGAGTGACATGTGGCCTACCTTTTTCCTCGTTCATGATAGACTTGAATAACCACTGACTTTTTTTTCATTTTGCCGTGAACTGCATTTCAGGCTCCGACTCCGCCGGCGAGATGCCATCGCCGCATCGCCGCACGTTGATCCCATCAGACGGCCTTTTTCACCTCATCCACGATCTATCCTGGACCGGCGCGGCGTCAGGCTGCGTCTGTATCCACCTTTCTCCTTGAAACTGGTATGTGAACCCTTTATTTGCCCCTGCTGCCCGTATCGCTAACTGGGATCCCAATCAGCATGGATCCGATTCTTACGGCGCTCCTGCAGAGCAATGAACCTCTCGATGACTCTCAAGCGCGTCAGGCTGCGTCAGGTTCGGGCCACGCTCGACGCTACTCTGAATGGGCTCGACAAACTCGAGGGAGAGATCTCCAAGACCTTTCTCGCCCTCGTGAAACTCGAACAGGAACGACGTCGACGCAGCCAATACGCGGACACTTTGAAAGGCGCTCTTTCTCCCATACGCCACTTTCCATCCGAAATCTTGGTGGAAATCTTCCTCGCCTGTCGCGATAACAGTCTGAAAGCTCGCAACTACTCCATTACCGATCCGCGACAGGCGCCGATGCTGATGGGTCAAGTCTCATCGCGTTGGCGCCAGGTCTGCCATGGTACCCCCGGATTGTGGGACCATCTACATCTCTCCACGACGCCTGGCTCTCCTATGAAGCCACCAGCTTCCTTGTTGCCGCCCATCCTCGCCAGGTCCCACGCCCTTCCCTTGCACGTCAGCCTCTCGATCTGGTCCAGTTCGCCGGCCGAGGCCGAAAATTTATTCGATATGATATTCCAAATCCATGAGAGATGGAAGGATATTCATCTCAGTCTATCCTCCAAATCTCTGCCCCGCATTCTCAACCGGAGAACTCTCCTCCCGACTCTTTCCTCGTTTAAACTTGATGTGGACCAGGGGCTCGATGGCCCTCAGGTTATGGCTTTCATCAACGATGCGCCCCAGCTGCGCCAGCTGTGCCTCAACGCTTTCTGCATGTTTCCCAATTTGTCGCTATCTGCGCTTGTGTCGGCCCAGTTGGCCCAGTTGACTCGATTGGAGTTGCGGGTTGCCGGGATGTCCTTCAGGGAAGCAAGGGATATCCTGGGGCAATGCGTCATGATAGAGGACTGCCTGTTACGTTTGTTGCATACTCCGGACGACCTCGAGCTGCAGCAGTGTGTGTATCAACTGATTCACCTGCGGCGGCTTGAGATTGCAGCCGGTGATGGTTTAGGCATTCCGTCGGAGTTCCTTGAAGCATTCTCATTTCCGAACCTCGTGGACTTGAATATTGGAGGTGGACAAGTCTCGGCCACTGGTCTGACCAACCTATGTGTCAGGTCAAAATTCAGCCTGACACATCTCACATTGGACGTCGAGCTCAGCACGGAAAATCTCATCTCGTTTCTCCGACACCTCCCCGCCCTCGAAATATTGGATCTGTCATACGGCTGCGTCGAGGATGTACTGTTCAAGGCATTCACGTACGGCCCTGAAGAGCCGAATCCCCCCTTTGCTTTGCCCCAACTGAAACGGTTACACATCCTAGCAGACAGCGACTACCTTGATGGTCTCATTGTCGCCGATATGGTCGAGTCCGTGTGCACACATCCTGGGAGCCAGAATGCTGCTTTCCCCACACTCGCCCACGTCCGTCTTGTGCTTGGGGGCCCCCTCTTCGACGCTCAGGTCGAAGATCGCCTGGCCGCAGCCTGCGCTACAGGGTTCGTGGATTACGACAGAGATACCCTGCGGTCAGAACGCAGTGAGTCCCTAGACGCGGTATGATCTAGCGGCCGGACCCAGTATCATAGATTGTACGAACCCTTGGAATCGAGGTCGTCCCGGACTTGCCCTTCAATCCTGCTGAAGTCGCTGCTGTCCCCTACGTTACAGAGTGTTAACCCACGCGCTGACCGATGCTCTGCCAGGGTGCCTCTCCCGCTTCAGATTTTGCTTGGATTCAACGTGGCGCTCCTCCGCTCGTCGAAGTTCATACCCACGTTCCGAGCGCTCGAGGTGCTCAATGCCCTGCGAAAATTTCCCTCGCCGTCTACGTGCCTACCACTCAGGGTGCGCTTTTCTGCACAATCGATCCCGTGACCACAAGCTAACGCCTGCGACGCAAATATCGCACTTTCGGAAGCTGCTTACCGACGCCGTGAGTCAGCGTCGAACTCCTTACTGAGCCTTCGGAACGTACGACAGGTAAATACCTCATTGCTCTCTTGATTTCGTCGCCGCCCCTCTAGCGCACGTCTTTGTAGGTGCCGTCGGTTCGTACATGTCCCAATTTTTCACTCGCCGCGCACGCTTTGAATAATACACTCAAGGATGATTGTGCGGCTCGCAAAGCAAACCGGCATGAAGGTAATCGCGTCCGTCAGCTCCGAAGAGAAGGTTGAGTTCATGAAAGGGCTCGACGCCGACTTTGCCTTCAATTACAAGACCACCGGCACGCGTGCGGTTTATTGTTCTGCGGAGGCCATATCGACAGGCAGCACCTGGGGTCAACAACTCATATCGCCATTGGGCTTCTAGCTTCAAGGGGCGGCCTCTTCTAGTTTCATTCGTCCCTCCATCGTAGGATCCTTCGCCCAATCCCTGCTCTGAAAGTTTGGATTCAGTTCTTCTACATCTTCAACCAATGCAAGTGAACGTCCGTTCATTGACCATAATGTACATGTAAAATTGAGACTACTAGTATTACTTTACTACGTATTTAACATTTTGCCGAGTCCGAGACCGTTGTAGATCTTGTCGAGGCCAGTAGCGGCAACGAT